ATATCTTCCTTTTTCTGGCCCGTCAAGGTATAACCACTGTTCCTTAAACTTGCGAACTATGCTTCCAACAGTGTCTCTAGGAACATTCAACAAGTTATTAAAAGTTACATTTTCAGTTAAATTTGGGGAAACAACTTGAAAAAGTTGTTGTGTTGAGCTATTTCAATTATTTAGGTTTGATTTGTTCATTGCAGACACCTGAAAGTCTGTAAAGTGCATCCTTTAACCTGTAAAATTTGCAATGGTTGTTGAATCATTTTAATTACAGCTGTAAATAAGAAGTACAGTTGCAAGATATTGTAACATGTACAAATAACCAGAGATCATACTCTTCCAGTGCACATCCAGAGGAAATTGGCAGATGATATACTCTCCTCTCCACCTATAGATGGTGTGTGTTGAGCTGTACTGTGGCTGCCGTCGCATCATCCAAGTGGATGATGGACACTGGTGGTGGTTGAGGAGAGATCCCTGACATAATTGTAAAGTGCTTTGGGTGTACAGTAGGACATAGGAATGCACCATATACCTCATTCATTCAAAATACTACAGGCCCGAAAACTCAACATCAACATCTGAAAGGTTTTTTTATGGAATGTGGAACAGACAGAATGCCGCCGGACAAGTTAAACCGCACTAAAAGGAGTGTCGCACAAAAGAAACACAGCTGAGAAGCCGAGCCCACTTTCATGATATCAGCAACACACTTCCACTCCCTGCACACCTTGAGACCTCATTAATTCAGCTCACGTACCCATCATCCATCCATCTCAAATAGTTCTTTGGCCTTAGCCCTCGTAGGGACGTTTATCGATCACAAAATCTGTTTTAAGTAAGTTTTAATGCTGGTGTGATGATAGTGTGTAACACAGAGCTTACACTTTAAAACAGAACAAAAGCCTGAAAAATCTGCTGGAAACCAATTATCTAGTCTGTTAATTACAAGAAAGGATTTTTCAAAATATTCAGACCACTATAACATGTTGTTTTACATTGTGGCCTGAGAGAACCCAGGGCCTTTTTGTTTTCTTTTTCTTTTACACCCTGTTTTGTATAATTAACATATCAGGTTGGTATTTATAGGTTGATGACTTTCAAAAAAAATCATAATCACTCATTATAAGCTATACAAGTTTTACTCTTGATGTCACTGATCACACTATTAAATATATTATAATATAAAGTATTTTACAACTATCAAATTGTTAACATTAATGCGAACATTAATTAATTAAATCATGAACTGACCATGACAAACTATACTACAGTTCAGGCTACTAATATGGAAGTTTACTACAAATAAACCGTTGCTCATTATTAATTTGTGTTAATTAACTACTGTTAATTTATAGAACATGAAATGTTAAAATGTATGGAGAGAAAACATTAGCCATCTAGATTAATACATGCTACTTCCAGTAGATAAATGATAAATTTACTTACTTCCAGATTATGTTAAGATTTTCTGATTCAATTCTGCTTATGGTCTACTAAACTATTGTTTTTCTTCTTCTTCTTTTTTTTATTATTATTTTTTTTATGGGGTCACATTAATGTTACTGTATCAACATTCACACTTCCAAAAGGTTCTTAAAAGATTCCATAATAACTGTCAAATGGGTTTTGACAATTTGATAAGAAAATAAGTTAATTTTAAAAAAATACTATTCTTTATTATCATTTTATTTCATTATATTATCATTTACACATACATATTTGAGGACTCATATCTTCAGGAGAACATAAGGGTTAGAGTAAAGGAGTCACTACATAAGATATCAACTTCAACTTAATTTTTGATTACATATCTGACCAACTTCACATGATAGCAAACACTATTAATGGTTTTCATTCAATGGAAATAACGTGTGAAAAGCGAAAACAAAACACCTGCTACCAAAATAAACCTTTTGTCATTTTCAGTACAGAAGTATTAT